TCTTTTGACACTTCCTGGATCATTTAACAATCTACCCAAACTATCTTTAAGTATTGCCACCGTGTCTTTAATTTTTCAACTCCTTCAGCTTAAGAAATGCTGAGCAAGTTCAGCCCTTTTTTTTTGACTCCAGCTCTCTGCACATTTCATTATAGTATCTTGCTTTGTCGTCCCGAGCTGCCTTTTGAAATTTTCTCTTCAGCTCTTTGATTTCTTCCTGGAGCTTTGGCTTCTCAGTGCTCTAATGTAATACTCAGTCTCATCTGACTCACCAGTGGGCCAATTGGCAGCATCAGTATGGATGGTGAAGAGATTGAGATAGTTAACAGTTTCCATTTACTTGGTTTCAGAGCCAACACTCTTGGTAACAGTAGCCAGGAAATCAGGAGACAAATTGCATTGGGAAAGTCAGCTGTGAGGGACCTCTCAAGAGTACTGAACAGCAATGAAGTTAGGCTGGAGACTAAGGGGTGCCTGATTTGCATCAGGGAGTTGGACAGTGAATAGGGATGATAGGAGAATTTAAGCTTTTGAGCTGTGGTGCTGGAGGAGTGTTGAATTGAATATACCATGGACTGCTTAGGAGAACAAACAGGTTTGTCCTGGAGTGGGTGAAGCCAGAAAACTCCTTGGAGTCAAGGATTCTGAAGCTTCGTTTGTCATACTTTTTGGCATGGGCATCATGTTTGGGAGAGTAGAGGGATGGCGCAGGAGAGCAAGACCCTCGATGAGATGGAACGATTCTGAGTGGAGTGGTGGGAATGTGAGATGGCGAGGTTGGCACAGGATAGAACAGCGTTTAGGGCTCTTGTACATAGGGTCCCTATGAGTTGCAAGCAACTCAATGGAACAGAACCACCACCCACTCTAGAGAAAGGTGTCTCAGATTTATGGTTGTTCTTCCCAGTCCTGGAAGGTCACTTTGAATCTTAACTATTTTAGCACACTTGCTTTTGGCAGTAATGGAGTCTCTTACATGATTCCAATTCAAAGTTGGGCCCTGAGCCAAAGTTTAATGTCTTGCAATGCCTACGTGACTTTAGTAAGAATTCTGAGTCATATGGAATTTCTGTTCAGCTTTTTGAGGAAGGGCCAAACTGCCTTCCAGAATGGTTGCACCATTTTACAATCCCAACAATCCTCTACATTTATTACTTGCTGCCCTGTTAAACTTTTGCCACTCTTACTGGAGATGATACCTCATTGTGATTTTGGTTTGCATCTCTCTTATTGCCAGTGATTTGGAGAATTTCTTCATGTCTAACATTAAAACATCATCTTCTGTGAAAATTCTTTCCATGTCTTTTGCCTATTTTGTAATTGGGTTATCAGTCTTTTTCCTCATGGAGGCCCAGTATTCTGTAAACTTTTGTTGTCAGGCTCTTGTCTGAGATGGAATTACCAGTTAGTTCCCAGTCTGTAGGTTTTCTTTTCACTCTGTTGGAAAGAGTACTTGATATGCATAAAGATTTAATCTTTAGGTCCCATGCATCAATTCTATCCTCTTCAGATTGTATTATTTCTGGTTTTATTTGGCAGTCTATACCTTCAACTAGCACTTCTAAACTTGATTCCAGTTTCTCTTCTAATTGTTGTGGGTTTGGGCTTTACTCGCAGGCCTCTGATCCACCTTGAGTTGACTTTTGGATACGGTGTTAGATGTGGATCTTGTTTCAGCTTTCTGCAGGTTCAAGTCCAGTTTTGCCAGCACCATTTGAAGAGGTTATCATTTCCCCATTTGATAGCTTTGTTGTCCTTGTCAGAGTATCAGACCATAGATCACTGGGTATATTCCTGGGTTAATTCTGTTCCACTGGTCTATGTGCCTGCCATTGTACCAGTACCATGCTGTTTTAGTTACCCCTGAGGTACAGCAGGTTTTGAGGTCAGGAAGTGCTGTACCTCCAACCTTTTTTGTTTCTTTTAAGTATTTATTCGGGTCTCTTGTCTCTCCAGATAAATTTGATAATTTCCCTTTCAATCTCCTTGAAAAAGGAATTTGGTATCTGGATTGCACTGAACCTTGTTGATTGCTTTTAGTAGGATGGTCATTTTCACCATATTCTGCCTTTCCATCCATGGCTGGGGCACATTTATGTCTTTTATTATCTTTCAGAAAATGCTCTATAGTTTTGTCTAGGTCTCTTGTATCTCTAGTTACATTCACTCCCAAGTGTCTCAATTTGTGGCTGGCTATTGTAAATGGTATCCTTTATTTCCGTCTGAGTTCTTTGTTATTGTGGAAGAATCCTATTGATTATTGATCTTATATCCTGCCATTCTACTAAGTTAGCCTATTTAACAGTTTTGGGATATTTTTGTTGTTGTTGAGTTGGGGTTTTCTGTGTACACTAACTATCACATCATCTGCATATAGCAAGTTTAATAATTCCTTTGCAGATCTGGATGCCTTTTATTTCCTTGTCTTGTCGTATTGCCCTAGCAAGCACTTCGAATAGAATATTGAAAAGATGTGACAGTGGAAATCCTTGAGACTATGAGAACTGAGACACAACTGAGATTTGTACACCAATGTTCACAGGAGCATTATTCACCACTGCAAGAACACGGAACAGCCCAAATGTCCAACCACAAACAAATGGATTGAGAAATTATGGTACATTCACACAATGGATTACTATGCAGCACACAGGTTCAATAACTGTAAATATTACCTAACTTGGGAAGGACTGGAAAGCATTAGGCTGAGTGAACTAACTCTGTCACAGAAAGATAAATATTGCATATAACAGTTATTGTCGAATGAGGGAGAGGCTGGAAGCAGAGGGATGTGGATGTGCAGACGGAAGGGGAGAGTAATCATTGGGATGTACAATTTGATGGGTGGGGGAGTGAAATAAATGGGAAGAATCTGTTCAAATTTGTATTTAAATGTTGTAAATAAACTAGTAAAAAAATAAAAAATTTAGGCGAGCTCTGGTGGCAAGAAGCTACATGGTTCGAATCCACCAGATGCTCTGCTGGAGAAGGAGGAAAAATCTCCTCCTGTACCAGTCAGATCTGATTTGTTGGTACACACACACACACTTACTTTAAACAAACACCCACTTCACACAAGAATTCTGAGGTGAAAAAGGTGGCACTGACCATAACATAGAAGATTAAAAACTGCTGCACATGACTACTTCTGATGATTTTTTTATAACTACAATGAACCATCTAGGCTTAACCTCCTGCTTAAATTAAACGGGTGAAAGGGGGAAGAAGAAATTGGAAAACCTGTTCTATGCCTCATAGAAATTTTTGGTATTTAAAATTTGGGATTTTAAAACTCAAGGCACAGGCATTCTATCAAGTTACTATAAACGTATTTAACACTGAAAACATGAAATGTAAACTGAGCAGCTCCAATTCTCTTCCCCCCTCCCAGGTTATAGTTTAATCTAAGAGGAGCATCCCTGTATTGCTCTCTTTCCCCAGCCCCCTTTGTTCTGCTCCTGCCACATCTCTGCAGGATTTCTGTAAGGAGTATCCGTTTACTTGTGTCTCTTGCTTAGCCTTAAGGTAATGCCTCTCCCACACCCATTTACCTTTTAACTAGAGAGGAGAGCATCTCCTTCCCAAAAGGAGAGAGTCAGTCCAACTGTCCCAATTGCACTTTGTTTCATGAAAGCAGGTGGCTTATCAGGGCCATGCTCATGTTACACAATTGCTTTTACTTCTAAAACATAGAACATTTTAATTATAAAAAAAGATGTTAACAGCATTAAAAATCCCAGTGCTTCAAATTGGTTCTTCCCTATCCAGTCTTGCTCGGTAAGTGAAATTAGAAGGGATCCAAATTTTATGTGGGAAAAGAAAACCAGAATGGGGAAAAATGATGAAACACACTTGCTAAAACACAATCCTCCTTTCTCAGCAAACCAGGAGTGTTACATGCAGTCTAGCAACCAAATCACAACAGCTCAGAGTGGGGACCACCAGGATTTGCTTAAAGATGGTGGCCCTATCAGGCAGGTCTGAATGTGTCTTTCTTCAGTCCTAGCAATAATCCAGTCTCTTAAAGAAGGTTCAAGGAGTTTCCCAGTCCAGGGCACTAAATCAGTTAATTTTCCCATTCTAGCACACCTTTATTTTACAGATTTGTGCTTGCTGCAACTTTGTAGCTTTGGCAATGAACAAACGGGTTCACAGTGGCTTGAGGTCCTAGCTTAAACCGAAATAATCACTGTTATGAATACAGGAATAATTGTGAGCCACTAAAGGGAAAATAAATGTAAACCAAGTTTATTTTGCTTTTTTAAGTAGTGTTCTTAAAGCACTACAGCTTGGTAAACAATGTAAATTAGTATAAGTCATCTCAAAAGCCAGAGTTCTGTTTTGTTTTTTAATGAGTTGTTAAAAAGATGCAGCCTATTCTAACAGGATAAATATTTTTAACCATTTCACTTCGAGTTAATGAAGGCTCACAAATGAGCAACACTCCTCATTGAGGAAAACAAAAAGCTGTTGTCGACAAGCGACAGCACACACACACAACCAAAAAGAACTATGTAAAAATAACTGTGTTCCCGTAGCATTTGAAGTTGCTTTACAATGGGATGATATGCACATGATCTTGCTGCAAACTTGCCATACAGACTGTAATACATGGAGCCTAGACAAACACTTCAGTCCAAGAGGTGCTATTACTTCAGACGATGCAGCACTAGAATCCTTTTAACAACGCAATTTGTTTTACTCATTACCTTTTCTTCTAGACTGAAATACAGGCTAGAAAAAGAAAATGCTTCCTAATTAAAAATCAGTATTGTTTACAGGAAAAATTGTATAACTTGCATTAGAATTTACAAGTATATGTTCAATTGAATTTGCCTCCTCCCCAATCCCAGCCACAAAATGGGCATGAAGTAAGTTTTAAAAAAATGCCTTAATTTTTAACTTCATGCAAACTAAATAAAGATGACTGAAACAAAAGCTTAAACAATGGAAGGATATTTCACAGAAAATTTCTTATACAAAAAACACATAAGAAAAAGGGCCACTAGGTGACATTTTAATTTACAAATTGGCATCATTTTGGTCGACAAATATCTAGATGCTGTTTCCTTCTGCCAACGAGAGTTGTACAGAGAAAAAAAACCCAGCCTGATTCGGATTTTAATCACACATTTCTTCTGGAATTTCATGTGGATTAAGGATGCCAGGGACAGACATTTGAAGTTTATGTTTCTCTTCCTGAGCCTGTCTAAGGGCTGTTTCTCTTTCTTCCAAAAACAGATCAGATGTATCTTCACCTGCAAATTCCTGTGAAAACAGGGTTAAAATGTCAATGTAACAAATCTTACTATCTCTCCCCATGGAGACATAGCAACACTGTTTGAATTTATAAGAGATCTATTAGAAAAATGTTTCTCTGAAGGGTAATGGTGGTTCTTACACTGGATCAACTGTCTACATTTATTTATTGGTCTTGTTGTTAAGTGCTAATTTTGCAAGACACATTTTAAATGATCTAGACGAATTTTTATTTACAAGTTTTCAAAGTCATTAAAAACTTCCAAGTCGTAAGTTTTTCTATAAACCAATTGTGAGTTGCTGAGTGGTACAACTATGCATTACAATAAAAATACAAGTTTATTTCATGAATAAAACCATTAATTTTACCATAAAAATATAATTAGTCTTATATTTCTGTGTTTGCAAATATTTACCTTTATTTGTACTAGGAAATCCCTAAGGTGTTCCTTAAAAGCAGGAATATCCTGATTCAGGCTGAAAAGTCCCGTCACGAAGAGCTTAACTTGAGCACTGTAAATGGAAATATACCCATTTAGTAAACATGGTTTTTAACTTTTCTTAAGACAAAATGTTTGTGGTTGATTCTTTAATAAGCATATTTACTCCTGTAGATGAGGGAATGCAGACTTGAGGAGATTAGCCACATAGTCCTGGATAAACATCTGGTTGTTGAGTGGATTTCCAGGGTTTAATGGTGTATTAATTTTTCCTTCTTCCACCAGATTAAACATATAGGCAAGAATCGATGCATGCATTGTCAAACCTGTTGATAAGAAAATGATTAGCTACATAATGTGGTGACACATGTACCATCTAACACTTTTACAACTTTTTTGTATTCTTACCAGCAGTATGTGAGGTATCTGTCACAACAGAGAAAATGTGCTGAAGAATTTCACAAAAGTAGGTCTGATAGAAACTCTGTGCGGCAGCTTCCTCTTGGGCAACGTTTTGTAAGAGTGTGAAAAGGATCTGTAGGCCTGAAACACAAACAATGAGGGTGATTATATATGGAGGATACTCAAAATACTCAGCTATTCTCAAACTATGCAAAAGTCACTCAGTCAGAACACATGCTACAGTGGTCAGAATTGTCAATTTGTGGTGGTGTTGGTTTTTTTAAAAAAAATCAGTAACTAAGGGTTAGGTGAAATAAGGTGTGCTGTAATATTCAAGTGACAAAGGAACAAGTTTACCTGTATCTGCAACATTCCTCATAGTATGTTTGAAAGCCCAAATAATGGAATCCAAAACAAGTTTAAATTGTGCAGGTGGAATAGCCAGAAATGCTGGGAAACAGTGAGAATTAACAGCCTGAAGCAGCAAGAAAAAATTTGTTCTGTGCTCAGGATATTCCTCGAAGTCCTAAAAATAATTGGCAGGAAGAAAACAAAACTTTGAGAGTAAGCCCTTAAGGGAGCTATGCAGTCATCACGCTGATGCAAACACAGCTAACTACAACTCTGCAGGTCACTGCACTTTCTTCATGGGATGTCTGGTGGACAACATCAAAACACACTGCTTACTGAGAGGCAAGCCCAAAGACAAGACAATGACGATGAGACTAGCTCCTTGCATCGTATGAATCACCACACTAAAGAATGGAAGGTTCTCCCAATCAGTAAGGACTTGGCACATACAGAGCCCTGGTAGCCAAGTTAGTGGTAGGGAACTGTAGTAAATCAATTTATGATGAGCACTTGCCTCCCAAGAGATTTAGAGTCTCTGAAAACCTGCTGAAAGGTCAGGTATGAGTTGGTTCTGACTTTGCGGTATTCACCACCACCACAGGGTGGGGAAAAAGCCCGGGCTAATATTATAAAATTGTGGACATGTACACTTCACTTTCATGAGTCTTTTTCTTTTTGGCTTATATTGTCTCAACTATAAAATATAATTTTTCATGGATTTTTATACCTTTCTTCTAAATTAACTTTTTTTTTCTATAATTATATTTTATTAATTTTCATAAACATTTACAGATATTTTGGGCTTCCACTCATTCATTGTTGCACTATTCTCTCTACCCTCCTCCCAGTTTGTTCTTGTCCAAATGCCGCAGTGCTTGTCAAAGCCAGTTCTGATTAATCTTCTTTGTCAGTGTATCCTTTGCCATTCCCTATCACTCCTCCCTGAGAGAGATATAGCAAAACTATTACTTCCTTCATCTAAATTTTCAAATATTTAGTTTGGCTCCTTACTGATGGGCGGCTACCAGAGCTCTCCCTAGATTTCTAAAGACCGGGAATTTCTATTGTATAATGGCAAAGTAAGCAACATACCTTATTTATCATATTTAGTGTGCATTCAAAAACAGCATCAAATATTTGTGGTATTTCTGCTGTTATATGTCCTCCTAACTTGTTGACAATGATAGCCATCGTACTAAGAACCTCTGGTTCTCTAGCAGCTGGGACATTTCGCTGATAATCTATGAGAACAGCATCCAATAGAGGAGGAACAAAATTTTCTGCTACCTGTTGGGGGGAGGAAATTGATAAGAAATTAGGCCATTGTTGCCTATATGACTAAGATTTTCTCATATTCTTTTTAGTAAGATTAAAAAATAATACATAGCAGTGATGTTTAAAATAATGTCATTGCTCCCAAGACACACTAGTATGGCTGAATGAAGTTTCTAAGAAAACCATAAATGTAAGATGAAAGACAATGGCCAGTTTTGAACACAGTTCACCTTTCAGAACTTGTATTAGCAACCTTTACAATTCCTTATCAACTATGTTTCCTGAGAAAGTATTTCATTACCAAGAAATAATACTCAAAAACCAAGATTATATAACTATAAATCACACACTTTTCAATATTCTTTCAAATAGGACAGGACTTTTGCTGGGGACAGAATGTTACCACGAAAGTTGCATGGTAGTAAGAACAAAACATTCAAAATCTTCAATATGGAAACTACTCACTATTATTAGAGGGAAACGAATTAGAATTCTCTATTGTGTGTGTATATATACATGTACTAGAGAGACAGTGCATTTCAGAGAATTCAAAATCAACTTAGAAAAGCCCTCTCACTTACCATCTGTGGATCATTGGAGCGGCTTACCCATCCAGATATTAACTTTAAAGTTTCCCTCTTCACTGTCCGCATACTTCGTATCAGTGGTTGTTTCGTAACCATCTCACCTGAAAAATATAATCAAGGGGAATCTAATGTGACCAATAAAATCTTACCAGGGAAGTTCTGTGTATTTTTCAGGTGTTTATTACCTTTAAAACCGAAAACTTTAAAGACAATTTTTAAATAGGTGTACTAGCAATTAAAACGTTGCCGCAAATGACGGCAAACGTGTTTCTAAGTACAGTTGTCAATTTAAAAGTGTGCAGCAACGTGTTAAGAAATTAATTTTTTTAAGATTCGCTAGAACATGTGAAGATGAATGTGAGAAATACTAAAGCAGTTTATGAGAGAATAAATTTATTACTCAACACTCCAGAAAAATTCAGAAGTAACTACCATTAGCTTGGATAGCTGCAGAAATATTTTCACTGAGGCACTTGTATACATTAAGCATATCTAAATAAATTCTTCCAAGTTGAATTACAAATGGGTGACCAACAGCTTTGCAGGCTCGCACATTTGTTTTTAATATGCTACCAAGTTGCTTCACTGTTTCAGGATCTTTAAGTATATCCACATTCTGTGAAAAACAAAACAACAAAAATCCTAATTACCAAATGAAAATTCACTAAAGCAATAAAATGTCCTTTGCCCCAAACCATTATGCTTTATAAGCCTAACTGTTATCAGCCAAACAAAACACAAAAACATGCAGGTCAGACATACATATCCCCAACACAGAATTCATTTCCTGGTCTCCCTGGCTGGGAGTGTGGCTTTGGTAAACGGTGCTAGCACTTACTTTGGTGGCCTGCTGGATTATGCTGTCCCACACCTGGTTAGGGAGCAGCATGTACTTTTCTATCAAATGCTCCTGCACTGTCTGGTCTGTCTGTGCACCAATCATGTACCCCACAGCTTCATAAAATGTATGGACCTATTTGGAAAGACATTGTATAGTCATACACTTTAATACAACTGACAGACAATAAATATAACAGACATTCTTTATATTCACCTCACAGATTCTGATCAGTATCTTTCTAAGAATAACACACGCTTAATGTTTAACATACCTGCTGAGGCTGAAGATCACAAATAATAGTGTTTATGTTGTTCAAAATCTCATCAATAAATGGCATCACTTCTCCAACCTGCACCTGAACGAAATGTCTGCGGCATTTCTGTGCTATTTTAATGAAAGTATCACAAGCCATATCTTGGACTCCATCGTGGGTCTCTATGAAAAAGACCAACACAACACATTCATCTATTTTGCTCAACAACAAAAAGGACCACAGTAAAAGAAAATAAAGAGACTTACCATGCATAAATTCAAACAACTTGTTAACGACAGTCTTCAAAAATTTCCAGTGAGCTCTCAAAAATCTTGGATACTGACCTACTATATACATGATATTTGATGCAATAATAGCTTTATTATCTTTGCCTCTTTTCTGTTCACATAATCCTAATAGATCCTGTAAAATAGACAGAATACACATCATTTATAATAAAAAATAGGTTCACTTGAAGGGCCCATTTCAGCTAAGTCCCTTGTTTACCTTTATTACAGTAACAAGAAATCTTTTTTCATCCTCTTCATGCATAGCTCCACTAATGGAGCCTATTGCCCAACATAATGTATTCAAATTTTTCCACGACCACTCTGTACCATTCACTTGATTGTGAAGTTTCTCAGTCATAATTCTTTCTGTGTCGACATAATCCAGATGAGTAAGGTAAACTAAAAAGAAGGGGGAAAGGTTCTGAATTTCTCAAATGTAAAAACTGATGAGCAAAAAGAACATTGATAAGAACAGCACATTAACAGATTTAGGGATGACAAGAACCATAATGTCTAAAAATTACTTGGCACCCATAAAAAGTTTACATTATCAAGGGAAAAATTAGGTGACTATTATTAGCAACTTACCTAATGTTTCTCTCATATTCTTATACAAATTTATGGAATCTGTATCCTTCATGAATTCTCTCACAACTTCTCCCTGATCATTTTCGACAACCAACACCTCCTCTGGTTTAGCCATACGACTAACCATCAGTAAACGGACCTATTCAATAAGAAACCAAGCAATACAAAGGTGTTTTTATTTGTAAAAGAAGAACCCCCCCACCCCCAAACCCTCCAACCACATTAAACTGAGAAATGCAGCCTCTTTCCAAATTAACAGTACCATATGAAATAGATTCCCCATCCCCCAGAGATCCTGACTGATTAGGCTATAATCCATTTCCAACATAGGTTTTCATTTTTTCAGACAACTCACAGGGGATGACAGTTTTGATAACCCAGGGAGCTCTGGTGGCCTAGTGGCAAGAAGGTGCACTGCAATCCTGAAGGCACACTATTTGAATCCACCAGATGCTCCTCTGGAGCAGGAGGGGCATTTTCCCCTTGTACCAGGTAGGATCCAGTTTATGGTACACACATACAAACATAGTAAAATTAGTAAAAACAGTTTCTGAAAACCCACACTTTGAGAACTACCGTGCTTAATAAGTCAACCTCTACTATATTTAGACCAACCGCTATCATTTTCTAGTTTTAACATTCACAGTGAAGATGTCATATTCTCACTAACTTGGGCAAAATCGTCCTAATGTAATAGCAAATATTTCATTCAAAAGATACACAAGGAAAAAACCCCTCAAAACAAACAAACAAACAAACAAACATCCACCCACTGACTTTACTGTTACCTTAGATAACACGGGCAAATAGAGCTGTCTCCTGGGTGGAACATCAAAATGCTGACTTCCAGACAGCAGTGGTGAGGCAGATGTAGAAAACGGGCTTTCTCTATAGAGTTCAGCTGCCAAATGGTTCCAGTACTCAAGACAAATCTTAAAGATTTCCGTTTCTTCTACTTCTGATACCAACAACATATAATGAAGGGCCTATACATAAGACAAAAACTATTAGAATAATCCATAGACATTATTAGCCGTCTCAAACTCTTTGCTACTTTAAGGAGGAAGCAATTCTCTAACAGAGTTGATCAGTGAATGCTTTTATCATTCTCTCATTAAGTGCCAAGACTGACCTTTAGTCAAATAGCCAAAGGTGAAAAAAAAAAAAGCCAAGTGTTCACGATAACTAGACTTATGATGGAAATCTAGACAGGTAATAAATCTCAAGACTTATTGGTCTCAGAGATTAATCCAAGTACTGGTCCCTCCTGGCCAAGGACATCATGCTTGGAAAGTTAGAGAGAAAGAACCTGGACGAGATGGACCGACACATTAACTGGGATAATAAGGTGTTGGCGTCAGAGAGACGACTCAGCAAAGGACAGGTTTGGAGTTATTGCACATAGGTCGCTATATGAGTTGCAGGTGACTAGATGGTACATTGTAACAACAACTATCAAAAAGTAGAGCAAAGGCAAATTTTTAAAGAGTTAGTATAATATGCAGAAAAGAATGTGAGGAGACTAAAGTGTCGCTAAAGCTTACCTCCATCAGAGTCTCCCTGAGATTTGATCTTTTTTCTATAAGCTGGCCATGTTCTTTAAGGAAGGTGCAGAGAAACAAACTGAGATTTTGAATAAAGTTCTGTTCATCATCTTTTCCATTTGAGTATGCAAGTCGAATGTTAGTATTTAAAGGAAGCATCTGCGAGTTAAACAGCGAACTATCAGTCCACATCGTAACCAAAACGCACTATTAAGTCTCACGTGTTCTCCTTACTCTAATGTTATGCGTATGATAGCGTTTTCTACTTCTGTGACTTAGTCTTTGTCTAAGAATAAAACTATACTGCAGATAGTAAGAGAAAATTTTTTGCTGCAGAGCTGGAACCACTTCAAAGTTGACCCTCCAATAGGCTTCTTGAGGCTGTAAATCATGTAAAAGGTTCCCCACCTTTCTCCCATGGAGCCACTGGCAGACTGCAACCTCTAGAGACCCTTTTGTGTTGTAGCAGTGCAACTCTCCACACATGATGCCATTAAGTTTCCTAAAAAGTACTTGTGTGTGCTTTTATGTCTATATCTGTATTTGTATAAAAAAAGACTCACCTAATTAATTCATACCCCAAACATACATAGTACAATTAACTTTTTAGATCATTTCATATCTATCTTAACAAAATTATACTACTCACTTAAGAAATAATCTAGTATAATATAGATAAGCACTAACGTGTGTCTAAATATTACCAAAATATATGGCCATGATATGCTCAGAACCTTTAGATTTAAAAGAATTTTCACAATGCTTACAAAATTTATGCTTGCATGGTTCAATTGTAAGCCAACGTCTCTTAAAAAAAAACAACAAAAAAGTTTTGAACCAAGTATTTGTGCAATATTACCTTTTTAAGCTGCGTCATTGTCATTGTAAATAGTATTACAAATTGCTCCGAATACTGGCTTACACTCACACCAGCAATTTCAGTGAGGCACTTCAGAGAGACATTTCGAAACATTGGAACATTCAGAAACTATTTAAAATAAACAAAAAATGTCAGTGACCTGAAAGGTAATTTCTTTAAACTAACAGAGGATCTCTCTACCCAAATAGGATTTTAAATCAAGAACACAGAGGTAAACAATATTTAATTAAAAAAATATCTAATAGTAAGTAGTTTTGAAGCAAATTTTGCTTTTATATCTTAAAACCTGGAATGTTGCTTACTAACTTTCCTAGGCTTTATTTTACCACATTTAGGGACATGAACCCTTTTATGAATATTATTAATGGGCCCAAGATTTTAACACTGCTTTGAATTTTAGTTAAAAGAGTATTTAAACTTGAAGGAACATTACAGAGCTTGATGTCATATGGTGCTCCTTCAATGTTATCATAACAAACCCAATGCCACTGCTTTCCAGTCTGTGGAAACTTACTTCACAGTGATATGTATTCAACTGAATGCTGGTAATATTAAACCAACTGATTATTTTTCACATCAAATTTGTGAATTACACGGTGGCTGAAACAGGATACCAAGACTATCTAAAATAATTTCTAGATTAAATTATTACTTTCTTTAGAGACAAAGTTACATTATAAAAGCAAGTAAATTTTTATCTATTGAGCTTTAGAAATGAAAATAAGAGCATCTGTCTATTAAGTGATCAATATAATGAAAATATTTAACCATACCTTATAAATTAATGTGCCAATTAACCTGGTCTCAAAAATATATCCCAGTGGAATCCAGTTAAGAAATCTGAGTAACGTTTCCAAGGTTGCATGTACAAGCGGAGCATTTTGAGAATTTTCCTGCAACACACATACACTTATAAAGATTTAACATCCTATAGTTAACTGTTATTTTAAAGTAAGAAATTTCAAGCACTTACCATCACAAACTGACACAGCTGAAATATTTGTGAGAACTCATTGCACATGCTATTAAAAAAAAAAAAAAAGACAGTAAATGTAAACACCTAAAATAACGTTATCAGAATTTACAAAGCTATCAAAGTTTATTGTCAATCAAAAAGAAAGCATTTTGGGATTTTTTTTGGATGTGCATTCTTTGTTTTACTTTATTAATTTTAATTAAGAAGGTAATTTTTAGTGGAATAATTTCAACAGACTTCTTCAAAGGAAAATGGCACAGGACCAAATCCTTAAGTCTCAAACTCAAATCCAGAGGGAATTCCTTTGGAAGCTTGTATGAATAAAGTACTGTGTTGCTGATGACTAGATGCAACTCTACCTACAGTTTCCCTAGTTATGCACTATAAGTCAGCCTGGTATGTTCTTAGGGAACTGACAAAAAGCAAGGCTACTAAATAATCAGGGCATAAATGATCTCCTCATGGTAACTTGATCATAAAAAAGACCGTACGTTTTTTGAGAACTCTTGAACTGTAACCTTTCTGCAGAAAAAGTGAGAGAAATCTTTGGGAAATTTCAGCCAATAGTACAAAGACTACTCACCACCCTACAGAAAATGGCCAATACTGGCCCCATGTTGCAGTCATTTAATCTGCATTCTAAAACCATTATAAAGAATTAAGCACATCAATTCCTTAAAAAACAAAAACCCCACATTCCAAGTTATCTGAGAAATGATTTAAATACACTGAAATAAAGAATTACTTGCCTGTCTTTCAAATGCTTAGCTTTTACTTGTGTGATCTGTCCACTAGAGAAATCAAACACTTCTTCACTTAAGAGCTTAAGAATCACCATATTATTCTGACAGAGGCTTTCACTGGTCCTACTTGCTCCCACAATGTCGCTGATAAAAGTTGGCCAGTGTTTGGGCCATTCTTGCTTCAGTATCTAAAATAAGATATTACATGTTATTTAACTTGTCAAAGGGAAAAAAAAAACCCACAAAAAAACAATACCCCAAACAAAATTTTTCTCACCAAGGAACTGTTTAACTACAAACCAGGTATAATTATCAACCAATTTTTTCATGCTTTCTTAAAGCAGAAACAGAAATGTGGCACTCTCCATACCTAAACTGGGTAGAGTATACAACACACATAAAATGTCTGCTCAGGTCCCACATAAGCTTTTGTATAACCTAAAAAGTGGTCTAATCTGGTTCACACAGGTTATCATACTTGCTTAATAGATACATGTGCGAATTATCCTGTAACTTCCAAAGGCTTACTCAAGAATCTTAAGACAATGTTAAAGGGACAAAATTTTTCCTGTATTTTTTTTAAACAGAATATATTAAGTCAACACAGGAAAGATAAACATGACAGAAGTACTCTATATTGGGCCTTGAAAAACAGCATGGGTACTAGTATGTAAATTTTAAAAAAAGGAGGTGCTGCAATTAGAAACAAACTTTCACCAAATGTCTAAAAGACTGAGAGGTTTAAATGTATTATATTTCAATCTGTAATCTTCATTTTCTAGGGCTACTGCATTTCTAAAGAGATATTCATCAATGGTGCTGCTGCTGGGTACCCCCAGATTCATCCCAAGTCACTATGATCATGTAGGACAGGACAGACATAAAGATTCTGAGGCTGTAATTTTTAATGGAATGATTGCCGAGTCTTTGTTCCTATGGAACAATGATAAACCCCAAAGTTAAGCAGACAAGTGCTCAAACCAGAGTGTCACCAAAGCCTAAAATAATGAAGTACCATTTTTCATACTAACACCTCCTCATTTAGAGGTGAACAAAGCCCTCAACAACAATTGGGGAGTGTAGCAGAAGAATCTTTTTGTTCCTGTAAACTAATTTCCCAAAAGACCTTTGCTCTGGCAAATTTCTTTACATACCAAATAGAAAATAGGTAGATAAAGAAAATTCACCACAATCTAAGCAACAGACTTAACAATATATGATTAACTCACAATAAATTATTGTCAAACATATGGTAAGGTTATTACAATCACTAGACTGCTATCATTACTTCTGAAACAATCTAAGCCAATGAACCATTGAGTAGGTTTTGACATTCTGCATAAGTAATAAGTTCAATGAAGCATTTAATTCTAAGGATATTGTGAATAGCTCACCTGAACAAGAATCATATTTAGTTTCCCGATATATACCTTCTCTTTCTAAGGAAAGAAAAAAATTAGATTAAATGAAAGCCTAAAATATACATCATCATCATAATAATACAGGCTCCGCCTAGGAGAAAGAATTTCAGCTCTATTATAAAAGATTATACAATATATGTTTGTCTACTCACAACAAAAATAGGAATGATATCAACTCAGAGACTCAGTAACTAAACAACGTTACTCTCCAAATAATCTCCAAGAAACTCTTACCTCTACACAAGTTGGGTCAGATGATGTCTTGATAATGAGTCCAACAACATATTTTTTAATCCCTATAAAAAAAATTGCACATGAAGGATAAAAATATATTGTTGGACATTATGTAACATGCTAACAAAATATCGAGAACCACAAATAAAGTCAGATAATAGATCCCAATCTCAATGTTAGCATTAAAAAAAGGAGAGCCAATTATTTTATTGTAATACTGCTTTTGAAGGTCTATTATTTCCCTTTAACAGAACACAAGTTAATCACAAGAGCTTTCCCAAATTATCTTAAGATACTCTTCAATGTCACAGAAGTACATAAACCACTTTACCAAATAGGTTGAGTATCTGTGGTTTCAGGATATGAAGCACCCTAAAAGACTAATTATATATTCATATTTTTATGGATCCAAATAGCAAAAACTTTGAATAGGCATCAGTGATGGCTGTTACTGTTTTCTAATTTATACTCATGTTGTTGTAACTGTTGTTGTGTACTGTTGAGTGGGAACCAACTTATAGTTAATCCTACATCAGGTTTTCAGAGGCAGTTCATCTCCAGGAACAGCTTGTTGGCCAAGAATCGTGTGCTTTCATGATTGCAGTGCACCTTCTTGAAGGCCACCAGAGCGCATTACACTCTTCGCATTAAGTTTCAGAATTTAATTTTCCTCCCAAGAGTCTGACTCTTTACAAGAGTAAAACGTCTTTTTAAACTTTTAAGACATCTTCTATTTTAATTTGCTGAGCCATCAACATTAATTCTATAGGTCCTTCTAGGCAAAGTTTCTTAAGTACCAAGAGGATTAAAAATGTTACCTTTCATTAACAACTTCCAATGCGTGAGGCAATGCTGCTAACGGAACCAATTAGCTATTCTCACAAAGTAGCATAAGGACTATAAATACTACCATATCTGTTTAAGTATGCCTTTTCTACTAAATGTTAGAAAATATTTTCCATTTGCAAAGCTTTCGGAATTTGTAAATGTGAAGCTGTGTGTGTAAAACTACCTCTCAAATTTGGAATTTTAAAGTCAATTTATTCAATTAAATGGAATGAAACAGCCAACTCAAAGGTAGCAAAATGGTCATGTAATTGTAAAAGTTCCTTCTATTATGAGTTGAAGTGTTAAAATTACTCTTTTATTATCTATGATTATAGTTCATCAGTATTTAAAAACAGATTTTATTAACCAAGACAAACCGGTCATTCCCTCACCTGAAAAACAAAAAACAAAACCTTTCCTAATTGTGGAAAACCCTTCATAGAACGAGTGTTACTGCTTAACAATGTAATGGTGAATTAACTCCACAGTGCCATAGAACTGAGCTGACCTTGATTCCCAGGGACACTATGTGGTACAGAATACAAGAGTGCACTACAGAGGCTGCAAGGCATCTTTGTGAGACCTTTCAGAAGCACTACCAGGCATAGTACAAGAAAAATTTACTTCCTCAAGGTATGTTATCAACCACAAAGGTGTGAACAGTTAAAACATACTAATAAATGTATCCTCCTTCCAAATCACACTGCTTAGGCATTGTTTCCTTCCCTTAAAAACAGAAACTACTTAATCTCATTCTAAAAAGGGGGAAGGAGGGCCCAAACAAAACCAGCAAAGATAAAACACATTCTACAACTGACCTAAAACTCGTAAAATTAGCAGGGATACAAAACTAAGAATTCCAAGTTATCTCCTGTTAGAGAGACACAAAAACCTGTCATATAGAACGATCATGACAAAGGATGAAATGGGAAATGTGAATAAAGTGTGAGTAGTTCAGTTGGTAGTACTGATAAATTTCTTGTTTAATTCTTATTACTATGGTTATGTAGGTTGCTAATATTAGGAGATGGTGGAGGATCTGTATGAAATTTTACAACTTTTCTTGAATTCTAAAATTATTTCAAAATAGTGAGTGGCTTTGTAAATAGACACAAAATAGCCAACTGTTTAAAAAGGAGATTTTGATAACGCAACACTTAAAAGAATCAAAATATTTTAAGTGATTACTTAGGGAAATACAAACATCACACAACACTGTTAGGAAAAATTACTTCTTATGTGCTGTCAATGTATGTTAAAGCCACCCCCCATCAGTACTCTAGTGGTGTACTCTTTCGTTCTCTTGTAAAAACAGAGACTGTGGTTATGTGCCGTGAGTCACGTGCAACTCACAGTGACCCTATGTACAACAGCCTAAACCCTGCTCTATCCTGCACCTATCTCACTGTCTTCCACACACCTACTCCCATTACCCCAAATCACTGAATCAATCCATCTCATTGAGGGTCTTTCTCTCTTGCTCTGTTGCCCTCCCCCACAGCATGAGGTCCCTCTCCAAGGACTGGTTTCTCCTTGCAGCATGTCCAAAGTATGTCAGATGAAGCTTCAGAATCCTTGCCTCCAAAGAGCAGCCTGGTCTCACCCTCTCTAGGACAAGGCTGTTTGTCCTCCTAGCACTCTATGGTATATTCAATATTCTTCTCCAGCACCAAAGCTCAAAGAAATCAATTCTCCTTTTATCATTGCTAGTCACTGCCCAGCTTTCTGATGCATACCAAGTAACTGTTAAATACCAAGGTCTGGATCAGGTACACCTTAAGTCTCCGGGCTAACATCATTGCTCTTCAATACTCTGGGAAGAGGACTCTGACAGCAGACTTTCCCAATGCAATTCTTCTTTTGATTTCCTGGCTGTTGGTACCAAGAATGTTAACAATCTCAATCTCTCCACCACCTATCATAACTGCCCAGCTTTCTAATGCATAGCAAACAATTGCAAAAACTGTGGCCTGGATCAGGCACACCTTTTATCTCCAGACTAACATAGGGTGAGGAAAGGAATTCTAAAAAGTATAATGTATTGGCTAGCTCTGGTGGCCTAGTGGCAGGAAACTGTACTGCAATCCCAAAAGTGCTCAGTTCAAATCCACCAGATGCTCTGCTGAAGAGGGAGGAACAATCGCCTCCTGTACCAGTCAGATCCAATTTGACGGTACACACATACAGACAATGTTTAACAAAGACCTAAATACAACCTACGGTTTTCAAGTAAAACAAACCCCTTACTGGATTAAGACTCAATAAAGATTGTCATTATCAAGGATTTCATTTTATTTACTGTGCATCTGTAATCCATACTCGTGGAAGCAGCAGTCAAGCAATCAAAAGACATGCAGCACTATAGTGCACCTGACTCGAGCCATGGCATTTCATGTGTATGTAAAAGACTGTAGCAGAACTGTGTTGCTAGCAGAGAATATGGAATACACCATGACCTGCCAGAAGAACTAATCCTCTCTTGGAAAAAGTATGACCAAAGTTTTCATTACAAGTAAGGATGTTAAGAGCTGCCTCACAGCTGCATTGCAATCCCAGAGATATGCAGTTTGAATCCAAGAAATGCTCTGCTGCAGAACGAGGGGCAATCTCCTCCTGCATAAGTCAGATCCAATTTGATGGTACACTGACAGACACAGACACACACAGACTCTCTCTCAAGTAAATTAAAAATCAAACAAAAAAAGTCACCTCACACCCGAGGTAAGGTAAGGGGGGGGGGGGGGGGAAGGGAACCACACGCGGGTGGGATATGCTTGGAGAATCCCAGAACATTTGATCCTTCTAATGCGAAACCTATACTTGGACCAGAAGGCAGTTGTCAGAACAGAGCACGGGAACGCTGCATGGTTCAAAACTGCAAAGGGTGTATACCAGGGATGCGTTCTATCTCCGTATCTTTTCAACCTATAGGCAGAACAGATTATCCGGGAGGCTGGGCTCTATGAGGAGAAATGTGAGGTCAAGATTGGTGGACGATCTATCAACAATCTGCTTTATGCGGATGACACAACCCTGCTAGCTGAAACTGAGGACCCGAAGCACCTGCTGCAGAAGGTCAAGGACTGCAGCCTCCAATATGGATTGAGGCTCAATGTCAAGACAAAGATTCTCACCACTGGACCAATTGGCAGCATCAGGATAGATGGTGAAGAGATTGAGATTGTACACAGCTTTAGTTTGCTTGGCTCCACAGTCAACACTCTAGGCACCAGTAGCCAGGAAATTAAAAGGCGCATTGCCATGGCAAAGTCTGTTGTTAGGGACCTCTCCAAAGTACTAAAGAGCAATGGTGTCTCTCTGGAGACTAAGGTGCGTCTGATACAGGCCATGATCTTTGCAATCACTTGTTATGCGTCAGAGAGTTGGACAATGACCAAGGAGGATAGAAGGAGAATTGATGCCTTTGAGCTGTGGTGCTGGAGAAGAGTACTGAGAGTACCATGGACGGCTAGGAAAACAAACCGATTCATCCTGGAAAGGGTTAAACCGGGCAGCTCCTTGAAGGCAAGGATTCTGAGGCTATGTCTAACATACTATGGACATGTTGTATGGAGGGACCAGTCCTTGGAGAGGGACATCATGCTTGGGAGAGTGGAGGGACAGAGCAGGAAGGGAAGGCCCTCTATGAGGTGGATTGATTCAGTGACTGGGGTAACAGGGATGGGTGAGTCAGAGGCAGTGCGATTGGCACAGGACAGAGCAGAGTTTAGGGCTGTTGTACATAGGGTCGCTATGAGTCTCAAGTGACTCAATGGCACATAACAACAACAACAATAAACAGTTAAGAAGAGTGTCAAAGAGAAGGCTCAAACAGCACCACACAGAAGACTGCCGGGATGGCACCTAACAAGTGTGGTGCAGGCCTGCATTCGGCTGCCCCGAGGGCTACTGGGAGCTGGAACTGATGGCATCTATTAAGTGTCTTAGACTGAATGCAAGATTATGATGATGGATTCTGCTACAAATAACAAGTGTCTAAAGCCACCAGTGTAGTCTCAATCTAGAAAAAAGAGGACTTGGTGATTTCTTTAGGGAATGAGAAAAGTTCATCAGATTGGTCATTACTTTTTTTAAAAACACCAAACTACTATTTTCTCTTTGCAGAGACAGAGAGATTAATCCGTAGATGGGCAAAAGATGAAAACAGGTAAAGAAAAAGGTGTTAAAAAACTGGAAAGCTCCCAACACGCAGAAAAATCCTCTCATTATCATT